TCACTCTCCTCCAAAGGTCCCCAACGCCTGTCTTACCTTCCTCCAAAGTCTGAGTCCATGCTGCAACCTTTCTTCTCAAACAATATTTTATCTGCAATAGTCCATATTACTGGGTAGTCATCCCAAATCCTCTCAAGTTTGAAGGCAGACAGCACACTCAGGCCTGTGTTCCCCGATGCTGCTACGGCTTTTAACCATCCATCTTTCCTCTACCACCTGTTCTACACTTAGAGCAAACCAACTGGTTGTACTTCCCTAAACATACTATGGCCCATGCCTCATGCCTCTCCAGTTGCTGTTTCACAGAACAGCCGTCCCCAACTGCCCACCTAGGAAACTCTTATCGAGATGCTGTCCTTGGACTAGGGATGCAGCTTAAAGGTGAGGTGCTGGACTCTCACTCAGCCCTACAGGGTGTAAAGAAACAAACCGAACAGAGGCTACCCACAGATGCAGGCTCCTCTGCGAGCCTCCCGCCTGCCATACCTGCCTTCCCACACACAAGCACACTCACCCTGTAGCAGTCTCAACACACCGCTTTTCACAGTTTCACCAGTCTCTCTCAACTGTGGTTCCCACGGGGGAGAAGAGGACCAGCCCCTGGAAGCTGTCCTCTGACCTCCACACAGCCCAACCCAACCCTCCCCACCCCTCCCCCCCATCCTGTTGTTAAGAATGAGGCAAGGGAGTAAGAGAAGGGGAATTTAAACTGGACTTGGTTATTTCAGTAACAGACACACAAAATTAGTGTAAGAATACTAGCAACCTTGAGTGTGCAACTGAGATGACACTGTGCCTAGGAGACTAAGAGATCTAAACAACAGTAAACTAACAAACTAGCAGCAGTCAGTCCTTCTCCATCTGTTTAGCTCCTAGGTGCAACAACAAGGTGGCCAAGCTTGAACTTAGTGGATTTGGGGATCTGCCAGGTGAGGAAGGCAAAGAACGAAAGCAGAGAAGTTTAGAGCACTTACAGTAAGAGGGCGCAGTGACGGGCCACTAAACTTGAAGGAAACAGACCAAGAAAGGGTACTGACTGACGCTTCCTAATGCGTGTCTTAAGCTCCGATTCTGTGGAGTCTAAGGTTGCCCATTAATGTTATACCACACACACCTCGTCACGGTACCACCTTTGCTGGCATGAGTCTTTTTTACACTCCAAAACTCCAAGCAACAAACTCATCCTATGCATCTATTTTTTCTTTTTTGGTTTTTCGAGACAGGGTTTCTCTGTATTGTTTTGGAGGCTGTCCTGGAACTCACTCTGTAGACCAGGCTGGCCTCAAACTCACAGAGATCCGCCTGCATCTGCCTCCTGAGTGCTGGGATTAAAGGCGTGCGCCACCAACACCCCGGCTCCTATGCATCTATTTTTAAAAGAGCCACTTTCTAAAGATGCAGAAAAATAAATGTATGGTTGAAAATAAAAGTTTGAGTTCTGAGTGCAGGGGTTTCCCTGGCATATTTCTATGTAAGCAAAGTAAGGCTGCTGATTGAGGCAGGTGGGGGGCATGCTTTTATCCCAACACTTGCAAGATAGAGGGGAGATCACAGTTTGGGCCCATCCTGATCTACATATCAAATTTCAGAGTCAGTCTGGGTTACAGAGCAAAACCATCAAAAAACAAATCAAAATAAAACACACACACGAAAATCAATCAACCAACCAACCAATTAATTAAAAGGTCAGGACAAAAGAAACAAAACTTAACCACAGTTAACTTCACAAGGAGAAATACATCCTACTTGCTCCAGGGCTTCTCATCTCAGAAAAACCCCACCAAAACCGAATGGAATCAACTGCTGTTCCAGCCTGCTCTCAGCAACACAGCTGCTGAGATGAACTGAAACACTCCTGACTTCATAATCTAGCTTGCTAAAAGATTCAAGATAAGTTTAGGGAGCTATCTGACCATCAGATTATACACATTCTCTTAACAATAATTTAAAAAGTTCTCTTCATATTTAACTAGCACCAAAAAATCCTACAAAAAGGTTAAGATATACTCTTAATTTATCAGTTTAGGTAAAATATATATCACAACATTTTGTTTGAACAGATTTTCAAGTCTTTCTCTGTGATGGCCAAATATATGGATTAATCATCTTAATTCAGTGGAATTTAAGAATGGGTTCATATATATATATATATATATGTCAAGAAAAATAAGACGAAACTATGGCAACTTAGAATGTTTTTCCGTCAGTATTCACACTCAAGTCACTCAATAAGCCATTAGCAACAAACTGCAATAATCTTATTTGTAACGTAAGAACACTAAAGTGGATACTAACACTTTCTTCTTTTACTTCTATCTGTGTATGTAAGAAGGACACATGCTGGGCACCTCGAGTTGGATATAAGGGGTGTGATGCTGAAGTCCCGCCCCCCACAAGGGCAGCCAGCACTCTCAACCGCTGAGCCATCTCTAGAGCCCTACAATTTGCCTTCTACCCAAAAATTCTATTCTTTTAAAGCTTTAGATTTTTTTCAAAGGCTCTGAGAAAGACAATGCTAAGAGTCGGTCTTTCAATTCACGATTAGTGCTTTCCTTCTATGGATTACAACAGGAAAGCCTAGCTTGCAAGGGGATTTTTAAATGAGAAGAAACAAAACAAACCGGCTAGGCTAAACACTAACAGTATCATCTGGTGTAAGGCTGTGCTTCACATTCCCTGTGTGCCCGCCACTCTGTCTTCCCTCTGCAAGCCTTAAGCGAGGATGGTACCCGACCTGCACGCCCCTCTCACAACTAACATAAATGAGCCCAGATATAACTAACTTACTCAAGAATATACAAGCTAATAATCTGCTACTTTGTCTTGATAACTCCATCACCAACTTTAGGGTTTAATAAATAGCAAACCCCTAATTTAATCCCCACATATAATTTTTACACAAATATGGTCATCTGGAATCATTTTAGAAATGCAAATTTTGAGGTTCCATCAAGACTTCCTACATCAGAAGTTCTGTAAGTGGGCCTAGAAATCTTAAAAGTCCTCCCCATGAGATTCCGATAGACATCTAGCTGGAGGACCGAGGTTTTAGGAGAGAGCATGCTTTAAAAAAAACAAACAAACAAAAAAAAACACAGCATCACACTATAGTTCAGATTGGCCTAGAACTCATGATATAACTCAGGCTGCTCTTAAACTCATGACAATCCTCCTGCCTCAGTCTCTTGAGTGCTGAGACCACAAATATGAGCCTGCACAGCTGGGAAGAACAGTTACACTGAACCTGTTAGGAATCGCCTTCCTGTGTAAAGTAAAATGCTTCTTTTTCTTAGCTGCCACAACTTAAAAATGCTTGGAAACAGTGCTGTCGATAATTTTCCTGTGTCCAGTTCATACAGAGAGTAAAGTTTATTTCTAAAGACTTTATTTACTCTGTGTGTGTGTGTGTGTGTCTCCAGGTGTCTATGGAACCAGGAAAAGACTCCTGGAGTTGGAATTACAACTGTGAGTAGCCTGATCTGGAGCTGGGAACCCAACTCCAGTCTTTTGCAAGACCAGCAAGTGCTCTAACCATGGCCCCAGCCCCGAAATACCATTAAGCTCTTAGAGCACCAGCTCCCAGGTGTAACACAGAGGCCCTCACGTATCTCCATGCAATAAGAGATGGTTACAAACAGGCTCTCTGCCTCTTCGGTCACCTGCTACTATACACAGGTATGGCTCCTGAGAGGCCAACGCTCTGGCTTCCCCTGTCAGGAGCCATTAGTGCGTCCAAGGCAGAAAAACTCAAAAGTTTTTTTCTTTTTTTAATAGAAATACCACCGTAGAGAAATGAGCAAACTGCTGGAAAAAGTAAAACAAACAAAAGCAAGTACTTCTATGTCTGGAAAAAAAATGATACTAAACGTGACAGACAGCTAGAATGCAAAATAAGTCATTTACGATAACTGACCATGACTGGGAGGGAAAGAGTGTGAAGACCAGAGTCAGACTGCGCGTCCCATATACTAAAGTGGCCCCGGCCTTCAGACTCCAACCCCCTCCAAATTTGAGGCTGGTTTCAATGTCTCAGTACTGCCACAGCACAAGACCTGACTTGAGGGTCAAAGAACATATGGCTATCGGGGAGGTCATAAACAAACAAAAATCCGACCTTTCGTGGAGATGCAAAAACCGAGTAGTATGACTTCTCACAAAGAAAAAAAAACGGGAAAAAAAGATACATACACGCTTGTGAGGACCACCTCACCGTGAATTATTCCCAATTCCAGTTCTCAATCCCCACCCCACCCCACCACCCCCTTCCAGGGAACTGACAATTGTTTACTTTCCTCGACAACTACCACCCACTTTCCGGAAGGAGAGCAGGATCGGCGCTCAGGGCGGCTTGGTCACTGCAGCCCAGGAACCGGGCAGGCAAGACTGCTCCGTGGGCACCGGGGGCTCCGCTCGCACCCCGAGCTGGGGCGGGCGGGCCTCTCGTTTGGCTCTTCCGTGGGGGAGCAGCCCGCGGGCCAGGGTGAAACGCCAGCGCGCCCCCCCGACCCCAGCCCAGCCCACCCCACCGAGGGCCAGCAAGAGTCGCCCCGGAGCCAATTAAAAAGTTGAACGACGCCATGCTGGGAACTGTAAACCCAACAGACCCGGGAGGGCGCCGCCAGCCCAGCGCCCACTTCTCGTCCGGGCACCGGGCTGAGCTGCGCACCGGACGCGGGGTGGTCAGGGACGGGGCTCGCTTCCCGGGGGTCCCCTCCCTCTGCTCGGCCCGCAACCCCCCACCCACCCACCCACCCACCGCGGCCCCGTCCCGTGCGAGCCGCCCCGTGCGAGCCGCCGTTATCCCCGCCGCGGGCTCCGGGCTGCGCCCCAGGCCGCCGTTCCCGGCCTCGCGGCCCGCCCGCCCGCTGCCGCCGTGTCCGGTTCCGCCAGCCTCGCGGCCCGGAGCGCCGCTCTCCCTCCCCCCCTTCCCCGCCCGGGAGTCCCGGCCCAGCGCCCCAGAGCCCGGCCCGGGTCCGTCAGGCCGTCCGGCCGGCACTCACCTTCGTACTGCAGGTCCACCAGGACCAGCAGGAACGGGAACACCGCGCCCAGCCGGCTGCCCACCGAGCCGGGGGCCACCATGTCCGAGCGCGCCGGGGCGGACGAGCAGGAAAGTGCGCGGCCCCCGCGGCCCCGCTGCGCTGCGCTCCGCTCGGCCACTCGGTTCGCTCCGGCCTCGGCCTCGGCCTCGGCGGCGGCGGCGGGCGCCCAAGAGGCGGAAAACGGCGGTGGTGGGCGGGGCCCCGGGGACGCCACGCCCTCGAGCGCCGCCGCCGCCGCCCAATCGCCTTCCTCCTGGCCTCGCAGCGGCCGGGCTCGCCGGGGTCGTGGTGGGCGCTGATTGGCTGCCGAGGCCGACGCCCCGCCCCGTCTCGGATAGGGTAACGTGGAAGCCTGGGACGAGGCTGCGTCCGCAGGTCGTGGAGCTGTCAGCGGCCTCGGAACCGCCGCCGGGGCCGGGCCGGGCGAGCGGGCGGGCCGCCGACGCCGCATGCGCAGCCGGGACGCCCGCCCGGGCGGCCCGAGCGGCTCCGGGCCGGGAGCGAGCCCCGCCCGGGAGTGTTGGGACGGAGGTGGTGCGGGCCGGGAAGGCGGTCCCTCCCCGGGGCTGCCGGGGTGGGTGCCCCGCGGCCGCGAAGGAGCCCCGTGCGCGGGGCCGGGGACGGGGCGGGGGGCGTTTATCCCGGGCAGTCCCGGGGCCCGCAGGGAAGCGTGGGGGGGGGAAGGGACGGGGTGGGCGTGTCCCCGGGTGGTAACGCCCCCGGGTAGGGTGCGAGCCTGTGAGCCAGCTGGGGCGAGCACTTGCGAGCGAGGGAGCCAAGGGGAGCGAGCCTTGGCCCTCGCCATGCTGACAGTCTCAGGTCGGTGGTGGAGGAGGCGACCGGTGTTCCTAGCAGAGCGGGAGCCGCCTTGGGCTCCCTGGGGGCGCGGGAGGGGGGCGATGCTGGCTGCCGTCCAGATGCTCGCCCGCCCGCCCTGGGGAGAGGGAGTTTGTTGGGGGGACCCGACACCCTTGAGTTCCCGGTGAGTCAGACAGACGCGAGAGCCACCCCACCGAGTCTCAGCGTCGGTTTTGGGCGGGCGGCCCTCTTCAAAAGCCCAGTCCTTTCCTGTCGCTCCACGGGAGCCTGCAGAGCCCCCCTCTCTCTCGACTTCATGGGGCTGGGCGGGCGCGCAGGCGGGTGGGCTGCGGAAGGCTTCCGCGTTTCCAGCCTGAGACCTGCCCTCGGCCGGTGATGGACGGGGGTGGCCGTGAAATGCCTCGGTACGGAACCGTAGCCCAATCTCTTGCTCGGTCTTCAGGGTTTGCTCTCTGCTTTCCCAAGAGACAGCCTTGGCAGTCTGCGGTAAACTTTTCCCCTTTTCACCCACGGGAGCCGCCGTTTTCATTCAAAGAGGAAAAGACCTTGAACAAGATCGAGTTCAAATCATTCTATTAGGCTTGTGACCGCGACTGTTTGTTCTGTTTCAGACACGCTCTACCCACCAGCAGTATTTTACAAACAGTTAAAACAAAGGCTTTCGATACCTTAGTGTCACTTCGTGCTGTAGAAGAACTCGTGGGTTAGGGAGAATTTTGAATAAAACAAGAAATAAAACGGAAGGACATGAGTATGCTCCCAGTGGTTTGCTGGAGGAGAATGTGTTGGAGATGAAAGGGGGAGCCTAGCCAGAGGCACAAATATCTGGGAGGCTGGACATGACCAGACTGGGCCCCGTGAGGAGCAGGAAGAGAGGGGAACCAGGTACAGCAGCCAAGAGGGCAGAAAGTAACCAGAATGTCTGGATTACACAGGGAAGAGCCTGGGGGGGGGGCAGCCCAGCCCCTGCACTGCAGAGTTTAGGGTAGAGGGCAGGGTATGCCAAGCCATAGCCTGTAACAGGTAGGGACTGACAGATGCTGGGAGAGCCTGGCTCTAGGCTCCCTTCGGTATGTTAAATAGACGCCATAACAAATTTGTCTCTCCTGAAGATGCACTTTAAAGGATGTGGAAAAGAAAGGCTTCTTTCCGTTCCAAAGAAACAGCATATCAAGGAGATGGTTCCTGGTCGGAGGAAATGAGTCCCTCGAGAGGGAGCTGTAGGGAAGGCAGTGTTGAAAGCACAAGGGTTAGGTTCAGGGAAGCAGCGACCATGTGTTACTCTAGTCTGTAAATTGAGTGGATTGAGGTTTTAGACGTTTTGTGCGGCAGGTAAAAGTTCCTGTGCACTGCAGTGCTCTACAGAAGCTGCCCTGTCCTAACAGGAGCAAACTGAAGAAACTTTAAGGTCTGTTGAGGCTTCTCTATTGGAAATACACGCAGATCTCACGAGGTAAAGTAAAAAGGTAGGAGATGATTTCATTGTCATCTAGTGAAGACACCACGCAAATAAGGCCCGGGGGGGGGAGAAAAACACCTGTGTGTTATCCCTGGATGTTGCTTGTGATTCTAACCTTAAGGAAAAAGAACTGAAAAAAATCCTAATGTGTGTGTGTGTGGTTTTTCGAGACAGGGTTCCTTTATTTATTTTTGGTTTTTCAAGACAGGGTTTCTCTGCATTGTTTTGGAGGCTGTCCTGGAACTTACTCTGTAGACCAGGCTGGCCTTGAACTCACAGAGATCTGCCTGCCTCTGCCTCCTGAGTGCTGGGATTAAAGGTGTGTGCCACCAACGCCCAGCGAAAGGAATTATTTTTAAGACAAAATATTTGTGTTACAGAGAATAACAAGGTCTTCAGAGCTGAGTGACTAAACATTTATTGAGCAATCATCTAACAGTCCTGTAGTATCAGAACTACAATTCACAAAGTATCCCTTGAAAAGGATGGTTCTACAAGAATAATGTCAAGAGGTTCTCTGCGGCTGTGAGCTGAAGAGGGCCGGGGTTGGTGTTAGCTCATGGCTATAGCGGTCCTCGGTGCATCGTGGCAGGGATAACATGGCAGGCACAGGAGTGGGAGCCTGTGGGATACTGACCTCAGTAACCATGTTGAATCAGAAAGCAGGGACAGCAGCAAAAGCAAAACTGGGCTGTGTAACTCCAGGCCCTGCCCTTAGCCTACGTTAGCCAGCTAGGCCCCACAAGCTCCCAAAATGGCACCACTCGTAAGGGACCAAGTGCTTAAAACACTGTGCATGACATTTCATGCATAACAAAGTAACATGACTTGAGACAGTTCACTCCCTTTAGGAGCTGGACAGAGGAAATAGAAAGTATAAAGGCATTGGAATGTTTGAGCGTGCCTGAAGGGGGGAGTGAGGATTGAGATAAGAGACAAGAGACAGAGATGGAGTCGGGAGGGTGCTCAGTGAAAACTGCAGCAGCCCCGAGTGTATTACTCATCGTCCTTATATACCCCCAAGCAAAGTGGGAGGGGGCAAAAGACTTCCTTACCCTGATACGAGGAACAAACAAGTGTAAGTACCTCCCCAATACCTAAAACATCTGGTCACCACGCCTTAAGTCAAACATCCTGTAATTTGATCTCGAGGGTCAAGACACATCTTAAACATCCTGTAGTTTAACCTTGAGCAAGAATAGGTTTTAACTCTCTGACCTTACGTCAAGACAGAACTGAGTCAATAACAATGAACCCTGATAGGAACAGAGACAGCCTCAGTATGTTTTACAGTTAGTGGGTTACAGTATAATAAACTTGAACCACAATGATGTCACCTGACACCTGAGGTGGGGTCACATCCTGGTAAGCCCACAGTAAGTTCAAAGTACCCAAAGTGGAAAATGCAATCAATACATGAAACTTTACAGAACACCGCAACTTAGCAACCCAGAACGCCGAGCAGGAGGGGTATGACGAGGCCACCTGGAAGCCACAACTCAGTGCGCTGCTGCTGTTCAGTGTCTCAGGCGTACCCTGCCTAAAGCTAGTATTGAAACAGAGTCAAAACTCAGCCTCTGCTATTTCTCACCATCCTAACAAAACCCAGGGTGAGCTGAACCATTTAAGTCGGGACTATCTTGTCAGTGACTCACCAGGCACTGTTAACTTTTAGGCTCTTAGTAGATTTATTCTTCTGACAACAGGAAGCCACCAGAGGGTTTTAGGCAGAGAACTTATCTTAGAGGTTAATCGTGATCAGGAGATTGTCATGCTAAGCAGGAGAAGATGAGAGACGGAGAGAACAGCAAAGGTGGAGATGAAGCAAGCTAAATTGTAGATCTTCCATGAAACAAGATGGTAAGAAGTTAGATGGGGATTAGGACCACTGAAAGAATCAGGAATGATGCCTGCAATGGCAACTATGTTGTCATTTGCTAACATCTGGTTTAGGTACGGGAAGGCGAAAGCTGAGTTGCTTTTTAGCAACGTTCTGTTTGAAATGCTTCTTAGACATGAAGTAGAGATAAAAACAGGTGGCTGGGTGTCTGCATTTGGAGTTGAGAGAAGAAAAGGGGGAAGAGGGATTTTAAAATTAGGAGCCATGTGAGACCACTTAAAGACCAAGGTATAAAGAGAACAGAACAAAAACGTGGGGGGGGGGGAGGTATCTAGGACAGCATCAGGACAGCAAAAGACTGAAAACCTACAAGACTGACCCAGACACAGAAGGAAAAACGAGAATGTGGCCCCACAAAATGTAAGACTAAATGGTAGGTGTGCAAAGAGGAGGGATTGAGTTGAGAGTCACGATGAGAAGGGGAAAGGGAGACTGGGGACCAGGGACTGATGGAGGAAGGGGACAGAACCAAAGCCAGTAAGAGTGGTGTCCACAAAGCAAGAAGTGATCAGATGCAGTACGCAGGCCTCTTCAAAGACTTGCATCGGACATTGGGAAAATGCTGACAACTGTCGAGTTTGAATCTCTCCATAAAAAACAAAAGTTGGTGTTTAAAGAGCTCTGCTTCAAAAGCGAAACAGCACTGAGGATAAGAGAGTCAAGGGGAAAACATCTTCCTTGCAGTAGATTTACAGTCTATTTCACAGGGCTACATGTCTCTAATGATTCTCAGCCCCTTGGAGGGGCTCCTGATGGGGGGAGTTGGTGATTGTTGGGGAAGGGAGAGTCCTGTTCCTCAGTGGCATAGGCCTGGGACATTGTTGCTCAAGTCAGTACAGCACCATGAATGCTCATGCTCAAAAGGGCGTGAAAGCAGAAGGAAAGGTGTAGAGGCGGCCAGCGGCAGGGGAGGGGTAAGAGGGGGCAGTTGGGGGAGTATGGTCAAAATGCCTTCTGTGTGTGTGATCATTGTGAAGATGTTAAGTGGAT